GTCCAATCAACCATCAGGTTGGAATACCCCCCGGCCCTCAACCATCGGGTTGGAATACCTCATGCCCTCAACCATCGGGTTGGAATGTCAACATACTATGAGTCCAATCATCCTCGGGATGGAATATTCTCACTACCAATCAAACATGTGCACCTATATCAGATAATCATATAACAGTCTACAGAGACAACATAATAGGGTCCAATCATCCACAGGATGGAATACCCTTAACTACCAATCAAACATGTGCACATATAATAGGTAATCGCATAACAGTCTACAGACAGTCAAACCGATCTACAGATCTCTAATCATAGCAACATCCTATCTACCAGGATACCAATCTAACCGATCTCACTAATAACAAAGCAAGTTAACAATTCAAAAGGGCCGGCCTTGGTGCCTTCGACCCTTGAGTATAGTGAGGAAAACTCACCTCATAATGTCGAACTGTAGTGATAAGATCAAGCTCCCGAATCACGGCCACGAACTCCACCACCTATATCCACTATAGGACCAAATCCACTTCCATAAACTTCCAATTTACTAAAATACCCTCAAAAGTCCAACTGGTCAACCCTTGGTCAAAGTCAAAGTCAACGGTCAAGGTCAACAGTCCATGTTGAATCAACTCGTCGAGTGTAGCTTACTGACTCGTCGAGTTCTTCCAGAACTCGAGAAACTGTGAAAACCCTAATTGACTCGCCGAGTTTCCAGACAACTCGTCGAGTCCATGCGGTGTCAAAATGTCGGGAAAGCCCTAAATAACTCGTCGAGTCAGTTTACTGACCCGCCGAGTCCATGCAGAAACCATAAACGGCCAATCTTCATCTGACTCGTCGAGTTGACCATGCAGCTCGTCGAGTCCCTTCAGTCCATTTCTCATTCAGACGTTTTTAAGCTATTCCATTGCTCCAAATTGTAGATCTAGCTTCCTAAGGCATATTTACCACGTAAAGTTGCAAACTTTACGTGCATGCAAGGTCTTAAGAGGCTTAAACATCAAAAACCAAGTCTAGAGTGAGGTTTAGGGCATGGAGAATGGCCAATACAAAATAAAGCTGATAGATTTATGAATCTGGGACCTAGAGGAGTCCAGATCTGAGACCATGTCCTTGTGACAAGCTCAAACCCAAGAGTGGCTCCATTAAACCCCAAAAATGACCCTAAATGTTCATAGAATAATATCTAAGTAAGGGAGGGTCAAGGTATTAGCTTTATACCTCAGGTTAGTTGCCAAAACGAAGTAGATGACAGATGCACTTCCTCCTTCTTAATCCAAGCTCCTCACTCTTCAAGTTTCCCTTCTAAAATCAACAAACAACACCTTTAAAGCTCTCAACACACACAATGGGGGTTTAGGACTTGATCTAGGGTTTCCTCTGGCTGATATGATGATGAGGGAGGCTAGAAACGTCCCATAAGTTCTTTAAATAGGGTACAAACCCTAAAAATTAGGGTTTCCTCATTCAGCTCCTACTCGTCGATTTAGGGTCCACCAACTCGTCGAGTAGACCTCATAAATCATGCGAGTTAGCTACTCTCTACACGACTATTTGGGGCCTCCAACTCGTCGAGTAGGCTTCCTTATTTGCAATAAAATCCCTAAAATCAACTCCTGGAAATCGGGATGTTACGTTATGGTTAACTTTTGGTCCCATGAGTGAGTTTTGGTGGCTTGATGCAACACCAGAAGTTATGAGTTGCCCCTCTTGACATTTTTGAGGTTTCTAAGTCATAAAGTTAGCATCTTTTGGGTTGGATCTCACCCATGCATGAGTCTGAGTTCATTTCATGGAAATAGAATGTCATATTTCGAGTTTGTGTTCATTTGAGCATGCAAAGTCACCAAGTCAGTGACTTTATGGTTCTAGATACTCTTTGGGACTCAAATCTGTGTTTTGGACCGTGGAACTTAAGCATTAAGAGCTTAATGGAGAAGTTGGCTTAATGCAGGAGTAAGTTGGGCGTACAACTCAGTACGCGCAGCGTACAAGCCATGCAGCAAGTATGCTTAGTGTACAGCTGAGTATGCCCCGCGTACTCGGTCTGTTTGGGCTTTGCATCTTTTGGGCCTCGGTTGGGCCATTTATTTGGACCTTATTGTTGTGGGTCTTTTTGGGCCATCGAAAATCAAGCTTTTGGGCTAAGAAAAATTAGTGGGCTTTAGGGTAAGGCCCATATCGGGGGTTTGGGCCCAATTTGGAAAATTGGGTCATAAGTGGGCCTTGAAGGAACAATTAGTTTTGGGCCTTTTGGTTTGTGGATTTGGACCTTGGTCTTGGATCAAATTAGGTCAGGGGTAAAATTGTCATTTTACCCCAAATATGGATTATTGGATATAGTTTAGAACCCAAGTGTTAATTGGGTGTTATTTTGTACTGATAGCTCGGGGCGTCGTCAGGACAGCAGCTTGTGATCTTTTGTGAGATTCAGCATTCGAGGTGAGTTTCCTCACCATGTATAGCGGGTCGAAGGCATCAATGCCGATCCATGATATGATCTGTTAGAATACTTATTGTCTGTGTGACACTAGTATGTGTATGTGCTTGTATGCTTTCTGGGCGGGGCCCGAAGATTATCATGTATGCTATTAGTTGCTATATGATTTGTATTTGGGCGGGGCCCGTTAAGCGAGTTAGGGTGGGGTCCGTTATACTCTTTGGTCAGGGCCCGTTATGCAAGTTAGGGCGGGGCCCATTATTCTCATTGGGTGGGGCCCGCTATATGCTATGTATGTTGGTATGTGTTATCTTGGGGAACTCACTACGCTTTGTGTTTACGGTTTCCAATTTATGTTTCAGGTACTTCCAGTTCCAAGGGTAAGAGCTTGGGATGACTGCATCGCACACACCACATGGATTCCACACTTGATATTTCACTCTGATTTTATGATATTTGATACACTTGTTTTCTTTGGGATGTATGGATAATGTTGGAATACTATTTTACTTAATTTAAAAAAAGAAATTTTTGAATCATATTTTTGGGACGTTTCAGCATTTCGGAGAAATCAAACATTAATATTATATTAAGTAAACTTTTTCATTACCTAATTTACAATTAGTTTCCAATTATCGTCGGACCGTCGTCGGACCAACATTGGACCGTAACCAGACCACCGTCAGACTAACAAAAAATTCAGTGACATTTTTCTAGTTGTATTCACAGTTTAAACAAAAAATATTATAACTAAAATTTCTCTAGTAATGCTTTTAAACACATACATTTTCATTTTTAGTGCCAAATATATAAAATTTAATACAAAATAGAATTATGCATTGACTAATTCAATTTCTTTCATCTAAATTGTAGACCTCTTTAAAAAATCTATCATTTATAAGATATATTTATAGTTCAAAAATATCATATTCACAGTTTAATAAAACATATTAATTCACTAATTCACAATCTATTATTTTCATGCATACATTTATTTATATTTTCACATAAAATTTATATAAAATACACAACTTAATACAGTGCATTCAAAGTTTAATACATAAATTCACAACTTAATACAATCCATTATAAACTAATTCACATATTCAAAGAAGTCAAACTTAAACTTTATCATCATCACCACTACCAACTACCTCGTGCCATCAACCACTTATGTCATTGTTGCAACCATCATTCCTTCCAAATCATATATGTACATAAAATCATGGATTCACAGCTTAAATATTATATTGATAATTTAATAAACCAATTAGTTTACTAATTTAGAGCTTAATGAAAAATAATTATAAAAGCTAATACATTTTTACATATTTATACAATACAAAAATTAAATATATTCACAAGAAAATTAATACAAACATTCATACATAAATCATTCATATTTTAACACAAAATTCATAAAAAATTCACAGCTAAATACAGTTAATTCACAAGATAATATAGTAAATTCATAGTTTAGTACACAAAATTCACAGCTTAATATAATAAGTTTATTGTTTAATACACAAAAATTATATATTCACAACCATTTTCAACTTAAAACTTACATTTATACATTCAGATCTATATCTTAGTGCTTCTTTCAAAGTTTATTTACTCAAATATTCACAATTTAAAATTTACATGCTCTATGTCAAAATTAGATAAAAGTAGATATGTGTATAACGTTTCTTTCATCTCATGTTTCAGAAACAAACATATTCATAGAAAAAATCATAGTTTAATATAATTAATTCACAGTTTAATATAGTCAATTTACAGTTTAATACCGTCAATTCACAGGTTAATACAGTCAATTCATAGTTTAGTACACAAAGTTCACAACTAAATATAATAAATGCACAGTTTAATACATAAAATTTATACATTTATAACCATATTCTCAACTTAAAACTTATATTTATACATTTAGATCTGCAACATAGTGTTTTTTAGTTTATTTATACAATATCCGCAGTTTAAATTTTACATACTTTAATCAAAATTAGAGAAAATCATATTTTTCTATAATGCGTCTTTCTTTTAATACTTCAGAAGCAAACACAAAATTCATAAAAAAAATCACATCTTAATACAACCAATTCACAATTTAAAATAATTAATTCACAGCTTAATACAGTCAATTCACAGTTCAATAATACTATAACTTTTTCTAATTAAAAGTAATTATATAAATAATCATCACATTTTAAACCTATAACGTATTTATTCAGGTGAAAAAAAACTAAACACACGGGTTTAATAAAAAATGTTCTAAAAATGAGCAATCTTGTTATTCTACTCAACTGGAAGAATTAATAATTAAAATCCTAATTATTATTTGAAAGTAAAAAAAAAATCTTGTAGGTACAAGATTATATATGGTTGAAATGTATTATCACTCTAGATTTTTGGTTTCACCGGAAATGTAAGAAACAACCCATGAAAACACACAAATAGAATACAAAACCTGCATCAAAAGTGAGAAAATTAATAATAATAATAATAAAGGCACGATGTGGTTAGAGATGTTTTGTTTGACATATTTAAGCGTACCGGGGTTTCCACCAAGAAAGAGGCACCTGTAAATTTCTAGATCGGCTGTCATTTTGATTTTTGGATAGGTCGGAGGAAAACACGCATGTGTGGATCTTACAGGGGTATCCCCTCTCGTCGGCTTAAGGACCGGAGTTTCACGGCGGGACATACTGCTTTAAAAGCTGCTACAGGCAAAGTCACCAAACATGAAAAATCGTGCATGAAAAATCAACACGTATTCATATCATTTGCATTTGATACGTTTGGTTTCCTCGCGTCGGATGCGGTGGATCTATGGACGTAGTCTTTAAAAGAATTAGTTTTACCATATAAAAATGCTTAGCGGCGTGGCTTGTTGTCCGTTTGTCATCTCATTCGTTGTACAATGATAATTAAATGAATGAAAAAAAGTATAACTATTAACTTATCTCTCACATCTACGTTACAAATATTATTACTAAATCATATCCGTAGCAAAACACGGTAACCAACCCTCCTTAAACTACAATTACCAATTATTTAATGTTCTTTTCCACAATATATAACTTATGGCAGTTAATATTGTACATATAAAACATATCTTTTAATATTTATTGGTCTTCTTCACATCATAGAAATAAGTCATAAACATGCTTAGAATGACACTGCAGAGACAAATAAGTCATTAATATGTATTTTTGCTACGCTTATGCAGGTCCCCTATGAGTCTCGATTTTCTTTGGGAGTTCATCTTTGGAAGCACCCACAATCCTGTCCACTACTTTTCCATCTTTAAGAAACATGAATGTTGGCATTGCCTCCACTGAGAAATCCTCAGCAATGCTCTGTTTGTTATACCAACTTGTTATTTCTAAGCGCTGAAAATAATAACACCCTGCAATAATCTAAATATGAAGAAGAAGATACAAGTAATCTTACTTTTAGTTCATCCACATCGATCTTAACGAAGATAACATCGGTAAACTTTTTAGCTAATTCAGCAAAGATCGGTGCCATCATACGGCATGGACCACACCATGAGGCTGTGAAATCCACAACCAACTGTCAACAAGTCCATACAAATGTTAAGGGTATGTGAAAACGATAACAACTTTCGATAAACAAGAATATGACAGAGAGATTAGAGTTACCAATTTTTTAATTTGTTTGTGGTTTTCAAAGAGTTGTTGCCATAACTCGACGGTGTGGCAGCTAATCAACGCTCCTTCTTCCCAAGTCGCCATCTTCGCCCTAAGTCTGTCTCTCAAGTAAACCTGATTCGAAGTTGTTTAATTAGTATGCAAATGAGTACTTTAGCTTTGAGTATGGATGAAATTGTGCAACATCGAATCACTATTTATAAGCACAAAAGCAAGGCATCTCGGTTTTGGGATGATAGATATTTTGAGAGAGGTGATGTAGACCTACACTTGCGTGGCCATAGATATTGAATATTGTAGGGCCGTTAATTAATATCATGTTTACCTTGCAATTTGGATAATCCACATTTTTTATTATTTAAAAATAATAATAATAAAAAATCTTCTTTCCATTTATCTTCTTCCACGTTATGGTTTTAGACTTATTAGTTATGCCACCAACCTTACTTCTTTCTCCCTTCTTAAAATCGTGCTTATATTTTAAATTGTTAATTAAAATGCAATGTTACAATATTAGCCCTTTTCATCTCATCTTTATTCCATAATTTATCTAAAACTCGATGTCTTTTATTTTTTATTAGAATTTTTATAGGGTAAATCTATATGCACCTAGGGTTCAAAAATATCCGTATCCGTAAATTTGATCCGAAATTTCAGATATCCGGATTTTCGGATATTCAAAATTTACATATTCAATTTTTCGGATTCGGATACAAATAGTTATTTTATGAATTTTTGGATATTTCGGATATCCGATATCCGAAATCAAATAAATATTTTTCATTTAATATTTTATTTCTTGTATTATTTTAAATTAAGAAATGAAGAAAATGCTAATAATAAATCCGATTTCATAGCCCAAATGAAAAAATAGACCTTGTGATGTCTCATAAATTTGAAAACATTAAAATGACAATAAATACTTAATTTTTGGAATTAAACTATTAATTGAAAGTCTTCATCCTAGATTATACCTAGATTCTTTATTTATCATTATTAAATATGAGACTCATTTAATACACAGGCTTATTAAAAATAAAAGTTTAATATACATTAAATATATTTTAAAATAATAAATACAAACGATATAATGAGTAAGTAATAATTTAATCTATACTAAAAGTATTGACATATTTTTAATAACGATGTTGAAAATTAAGAGGTAAACATTAAACATTTTTTAGAAATAAACTTTCAAAATATATACAAACGAAATGACAAATAAATAAGTAATTGAATTTATAATAATAAAAAATTTAACATATTGTAAATAGTTGTTATGAATGACAAATTTTCAAATACTTCTTTGAATACAACATTAGATGTCTTTTGCTAAGGTTACCATTATATTTTATGAGTATTAAAGGTGCAAGCCTTTTACCATCTAACCCGAACCAAACCAAGAAAAACTAACGGTCACTACATCCTTCAAACAATTGAGCCATATAATAGACTGAGGGAAGAAATCTTTCTATAAATGGTTTTGTTAAATGTTTAAGAGATATATATATGTAGGTCAATCAAGCAAGAGCAAGTTTTTTTTAGAAAAATAACGTATGACTTTTAATGATATGATGGAACAAACGATTTAAGTAACAAATAATGCCCATAGTATTCAATATTAATATCATTTTGAACTATATGCGGGATCTTTTTAGCAACACAATTTAGAATATTAAGTACATATTAATTAGTTGTAAAAAAAACTAAACAATAAAGTTATATCCCAGTTTGGAATTATAAATAATACATTAAAAACTTTGAAATTAGGAGAAAATAAAATTCAAATGCGTATAAGATTTAACTTAACCGTGAAACCGAAATATATATAAAAACAACCTTTTTATTAATTTAAATATTATATTCAATACTCTTGAGTCTTGACTTGTGCTTTATGTAGCCATTGATTGTTGTGGAGGTTATATGACAAACTTAACTTTCTGTTATAATAACCATCTTAAGGAGATCATCACAAAAGAGTGTAGGAGAACATTCTAAACAAAATTCAAAACAAAACAATATCTATAAATACAAATCTGATCGAAATCTTACACCAAAATAAAAATGTTCTTGTATAAAAAACATGTTTTTTAGAAAATAATCAAAAGCAATAAACAAAAAAAAAAGCATTTATTATCAAATACTTGACAGGAACATTAAGATACACATGGCCTGTAAAAACTACCAAATTATGACTATAGCCGATCATCCCATCAATGTTGATTTCTGGGACATTAATAAATGAAGAAACAACAAAATAGAGAAGCACTTCTTCTATTTATTTCAATACAAGGGTATTTTGGGTTTTAAATAAAAAATAAAAAAATTCCATCTTCTTATTTGATCTGTGAAAATGAAACCATCAGATTTAAAATGGGACTGAATTAAATTCATCCATTTTACACGAAACACAACATTGAAAGAAATCACGAACTCCTTCCGTTGGATAACATCGGAATCCACAAACACAGCACACCCTTAAGTTCATTCAGCATCAAATCATTGAGAATCTAATCCATTCAGAACCAAATCATTAAGCACTAAATTTATCAAACATTTTCACAACCTCAAACGCGCATTATAGCAGGTTTATACAATTTCAGATAACTTTTACCAGTCAAACTCAATTATGTTAAACACACATACACACTAACATCCAATAAAAGAAGGACATTACACGAATTAAGATTGCTAACCGTGTCATTCAAGCATAAATCTTTTTGAAGGAAATGGCTAGAGACCATGAATACTACTATGTTTATGTAAGAATAAACAATACAGAGGTAAAGTAAGCAGAAAACTATCAACAAAATAATAGAAAAAACATTCAGAACCACGTTCGCATTACATCGAACTTGTGGTGGGCATATATCAAATGGTCTTATTAGAAGGTGTTTAAAAGTAAGAAAAAAAAACGTAAAATGATAATGTATACATAAAAAAGACTAGAGTTACTAACCTTCAGAAATTCTTGGTGTACTTGATTTTGATTTTATAGAAACTTGATTTTCACTGAATAACAGGTATCGTGCGAAATGCTAATAACATTGAGGGAAGTGGAAGTAAGTCGATGCACTTTTCTTCCTAACTTTCCTTCCAATTTGGAAGGATTTGGAAAGAAACAACAAAATGATTTATTTTCCTTTCATTTCTCTTTAATTGGGGAACACAAAAGAAAATTTTGTATTTTTTTCCTTTTTCTTCTTTTCTCTCATAACTTTCTTTTCTCTTCTCTTCTTTTCTTTTGTTAAACTTGGAAACGAGACGTAGGAAGAATTCTCTATGATTATCAACATGGGAATGAAATTTCTTGATTGATGCATCCTAAAATTAACTCCATAAAACATACAATAGGAGGTTTCGTTTTGGAAAAAATGAAGAAATAGCTGTGAAATTGGAATGCATTAATCAAATAGATGCGTGATTTTTGGACGACGAGAGCGTAAATGGAATAAATATTATATATAGCAGCTTAAATCTAACAATCTAACAAGTTTTTTTTTAAATAAGGATGTACCTAGTTTCCTTTTTTAAAAAGGTATATATATATATATATATATATATATATATATATATATATATATATATATATATATATATATATATATATATATATATATATATATATATATATATATATATATAGAGAGAGAGAGGTATGTTCAAATGAGAACAATTCTTAATTTGAAAATACAGAGAACAAATTTTGTCAATACATGTTTATAATTGCAGATTAACAGTTTATTATATCATATTCAATAAAATTAATTATCCTATTATTCTTTTAAAAAAGTCCTCACACACTCATACACATACACTTTCTCTCTCTAGATCTAGACCACCAGATAGTTGCCGGAACCACCTATCTGGCTCACCGGACCACCGTCTTAACTATTGTAACGCCGCCAAAACCACCGTCGGAACCACTATAATGCCACCGGAACCACCAAACCGGCGTCTCTTCACTCTCACCGGATCTGCTCGTTCATCTCCCTCCGCCTACCACCGTCGAAAAGCACCAGATTGCTGCCTTCTCACTCTCTAGATCTGCCTATTCACCACTCTCACTGTCGAAAACCAACTTCGTCTACCTCCGATCTTCCTGAATCGTTACCAGATCTTGTTATACCAGCCATCCTATCGAATCTTATCTAGCGACTATCAGATCTCGCCTCACCGAATTTCGTCGAATCTGAAGCAGAATTTATTCAATTTATCATCAAAACTTGCTTCAATATGCATCTATATTTCAGCAACTTCCGTAAATGCAAAAAATAGGAAATCAAACAGGGGTCAAGAGGTTTTTGTCTTCGTTTATGATAGTCTCGCAGGTGAGAATGGTGGGAGGAGAGAGGAACCAAATATATGAACGTTTGCGATTTCTCTCCATCGGACGTGATATTTCGCTTGTCAATCAGTCGTCTCCGGTGACATCTCTCCGGCGGACTTCATATTCGCCACCAATTGATGAACGTCGACCGTTCCTCTCTTGCCACAAGGATACAACTCTAGTAAGATATTAGAAGATTTTTTATATATAACTATTTATTCTAAAAACATAAAGATTCACACGAATTTATTATATTCTGACATTTACACATGGTAAAGTTTGAAAAGTCTCATCTACTTATTGTTTGTAGAGGTAGTACATATTATTTAATAGACAAATTAAATATCCTCCTACTTTTCCTCCTAATTATCTTCCTAGCCACTTTAAATGATGACAAGTGTCTTAAAATATAATTAAGTTTATCAAAATATGACACATGTCACCATTTCAAATGGGTAGGAAGATAAGTAGTAAGAAATGGTATGAGGATATTTAATTTCTCTATTTAATAATATAAAATACCTGAAATATCTACATTGAGACGTTTTGGGTATCCTTTACATCACTTCACAAAAGAAAAAAAAATTACTTTTGGTGGCAAAGGCCATGCTACGAGTCACCTGCCTTCTTTGCAATCTTTTTTAATTTGAAAATTTTTCACATGTTAACATTTTTAAAATGATTGAGTAATATTTTTAAGATAAATTATTTTTATTTTAAAAAACTAACATCGAAATTATTTTTAAAACTACTAACATTTATAAAATATGATATTTATATATTTTCATAATCAATTATGAGTCATTCATTTTTAATCTTTTCAATTTGGAGACCACCTAATGAATAAAAAACATGAATAATATATTTTAAAAACTTTAGTAGTTTT